GTGGTCCAGCACACAGTACCTGCCCTCTGGCTCCCAGAGGGATAGGCGTCTTGCTGCCTCTGACAGTCTATGAGTGAATGTGTGTCTCTGCCTCTTTGTCTCCATCTCTCTTGCGTTCTCTGCCTTGTCTCTCTGTCTCGCTCTGTCTGTCTCTATCTGTCTGCCTCTCTCTCTGTCTCCTATGCTCTCTCCTTTGTCCGGCTGTCACCTCCATGCTGTCTCAGGTCCCGCAGCCTCCAGCAGACACGAGCCCCCAGTCCCTCATCGGCTCAGGCTATTTTTCAATTGTTCGTTCTTGCGGGGCAGAGGAAGATGGAGTGTCCACAAAAGCTGACCCAGGCCCAGGACAGTCTTCTGACAGCCTTGGAATCCCACTCTGGGTGGCCAGCCCCGGCCTGGAGGGGCCTGTGCTTCTCCCAGGTTCATGCCCTGGGTATCCAGTCTTTGGCTCCTTGTTCTGTCCACAAATCTAGGCCAAGGCCACCGTGGAGGAGGCTGGCACGGCTGCCTAGGAAATCTCAAGATCCAAATCCAAGCAGACGGTGGGAACCAGCTGCCTCCCTTCCCTACACACCCCTGGTTCATGGCCACCCTGGGCTGGAGGGGCCGACGGACAGGCGGCAGCAGGTTCAGCAGTGCAGGGTCTAGCAGGGCGGGCGTAGCCGCCCTAATTACTCCAGTTCTCCAGGCTCCGATCCGTTCTCAAAAGGGCTCCAGGGACACTGCCTTTAATAACTACCACTAAACAGGCAAGAAAATCCATGCCTGGTAAACAGAGCCCTGGGGAGGAGATGCGGGCTAGCCAGCTCCCAGAATCCTTTGCGGCAGAGTGGCCAAGGCAATCTCCAGAACCTTCTCCCAATGCCCTAGGTCCACCTCCCCACTTGTCTGCCAGGCCACGCCCCTCCCCTCCCCCTCAGCTCCACAAGCCTGGGGTTCAGCTGCGCGTGCTGTCCTCCCGGGAAGATTTTGGAAACACTGTAGCCCTGATGTGGCCTTTTGTCACCCCTAGAAGTTATCAGCCAATTCAGGAGACAAAAGCAGATTGAATGAATGAAATGATTCCAGGACAGTGCAAGGGCCAAACATGGCAGCTTTTCCAACAGAGCTAAGAAGGACTTACTGGAGGGGCTGGACGTTCGAGGAGCTCTGTGGGATGATTAGGAGTTCACCTTGTAGGGACGCTGGAAGTGGGGTCTTGTGTAGGTTAGCAGCCAACACGGAACAATCGCTTCTGTATGCTAAGTCACGTGCTAAGCGGCTGTCGTGCCTTCTTTTATTTTGTCCCCCTAGAAGTTCCCTGGGGTAATTGTTGACACCCCCATTTTACATATAAGACCACTGAGGCTGTATGAGGAGCCAGGGTTCCCACAGGCTCCCGAACCTACTGGCTGCTTACAAGAAGCATTCCAGAATTCTTACTCATTCTGCCCCTGAGCCCCCTTTGGCTGGGGACCTGAGCAGCAGGTGGGGTTCGAGGGAACAGTTCCCTTGTGTCCCTTCTGTCCCATCCCAGGGGACACGGCTCCTCACCTTACCACAAAGCTGACTGCCCACAATACTTAGGGTTCATCTCCCAACAGCACCTCATTCTGCAAACGGGGGAAACTGAGGCACTAAGCAGGAAGGAGTCTAGCAAGCAGGAGCAAGGGGATAGGATACAGGGCTTGCTCCCAGCACAGAGAAAAACCACAGAAAATCAATATGCACTCCATTAAAACAAACAGGCACCAGGCCCTAGGGAGTCTTCCTGTGGTTAGCTGGGACATTATTACTGCCTAGGGACCTTATTTCATGACACTTTCTACCCTGCCCCTCAGGGCTGATGCTGTTGTGAGGGGGGCAGCCCTGGATATTCTAGCAGGCAAGACAGATGACAAGGTCTTTGCAACCTGTGTGGCAATACAGTGGGGACAGTCAGACAGGGTTTGTGGTCAGTGCTAACATCTGTCTCAACTCCACCCCCACAGTTACCTGGCAACAGCCAGGTAGGCCTGGCCACTATAAAAAGAGCCTGCTTGCCCCTCCTCTCTCTCTCTCTCTCTTGATCTCTTGCCTTCTTGCTCCCCCTTTGTCCCCTCACCCCTTCCCCCTTCCCTTCACCCCTCTCTCCACATGCTCTCTGCCTCTACTTCTCTCCCCTCCTCTCCTCCTCTCCCCTCCCCTCCTCTCCCCTCCCCTC